AAAATTTCGGAATTTATTCGTTAATAGTGTATGTGTGTGGCAATAAAAAATTCTAATAAAATATTTCATTTTTTATATGTGAAAAAAGCCATTTTTTACCCGTGGAAAYACATGTAACGATCAGGCCCTTAATAAAGTGTCAAATTATCCATTGAAACCGCGAAATCGGTAATTTCTCCATATGAAAGATAGCTCAGGGAAGTCTCACACCTACCAGCCTATGTGCTTACTGTAGCGTGAACTTATAAACTCTTTTGTCCAATTGAACATTTCAGGCRTAGCCATCGCCATTCGAATTGGCATAAATATAAGTTATTTAACATTTTTTCCAACCTGCCAACTATTGTACATATGGTATATTACTTTAAAACATTAAAAACCGGATTTTGTTYAAAATAAATTCTAGCTATACTCATACTTTATTGCCACTCTATGTTAAATCAGTGAGTTCGACATTCAAGGTAATGTCTTTATTCGTAGACCTGCTTACAGATATACATAACTACACACATAAGCAACTACAGTCATGCGCATATGGTTGAGTACATATTTATGTATTTATAGTTTGTACTACATAAAATTACAGAATGCTTTGCGTGTCATTAACTAGTTTCACTTTCAAGCTCGTGGATGCAGGCAACATTGCTGAATAGTAATTACAAAAAAGCTTAGCTTCATTACTGCAGGCGCTAAACTAAGTCATKGCTTGAAAATAAAATTGTAAAAAATAAATTATTTCGAACTGACATTGGTATATATGTATGTTCAGGTACACTTAAATAAATAAATTGGTATGTATGTAYGTATGTGTGAAAATACACATAATCGATTACATGTGAGAACAAAATGTTGATTTTGTTTTGTTTTTGAAACTGGTTCTGCTCGTTCGAACATTGCTTTGTTGTAGTTGTAAACAATTTGGCGGAATATAACCTTTTAATTGCTATTTATGTCTTTATACAATATAGGTGTATGTATGKCTGTGCATATCAACCTGACACTCAGACAATTTACAACACTTTAAATTTAAGTTTTATGCTCTATTCTATTTTTATGAATTTATGTTTAAATAATGGCACACGAGAATCAGAAATGGACTCTAAGGTAAACCAGAAATCTCAAAACACGCATATTAAATTCAGTTTTAAATTGTCATTTTTGTTTACTTGAAATTTGTGAATTAATTTAATTTGTCATAGGCTTGGCTTGTTTACATGTGTCGAAACATGCATATTTGAAATAATTGTCAATTTAGTAGCAATTAGTGCAGAAATTTATTAATGGGTTATGATTAGATATGAGCAACGTTTGTCAATTAGTGGCATACGAGTTTCGTTGATTTTTTTGRATTTGATTTGCTGGAGGTTATATAAACCTATATATAATATGTAGAATTTAGAATGTTTTATCTTCTGAGACTTTAATGTATTAATTTTTTACTTATTTAAGCACACTAACATTTAATATCGAAAAACTCTCGAATATACGAAAGATGGTCGTGGGACACTCCTGGACATTTTTGAAGCATTCAACAACGCTTGTACAAAATCTATTCTGAGTAGTAACTAGTCTATAGATGTTGATCCTGCGTTAAAACTTTGGATCAGAAACCTCTTGATCTCTAGAAGGGTAAAAGTGGAATGGAAGACGATAGAATGACCAAAGAAGTCCACAATGTGGAGTGCYATCTCCATGTGTTYASTAAACTGATGGTAGCATACAAGRTTTGTTCGGAAAGTAATAGGTCTGAGTCGATTTAAGAAAAGGTATTGAATAAATCGCTATRATTTTTTGAAAACTTTCAAAATAGGCTCTTTCTGCATCGATGCAGGGCTGCCAGCGYGATTTCCAAGCATTGAAGGYGTCAYGGAARCCATTCTTCAGAATAGCCTTGRGAGCCGARGTGSATGTTGCTTGGATCCCCTCTGTCGTTTCAAATTGCTTGTCTTTCATCGGCCTTTTCAGGTAAGGAACCAAAACATTCTGGAGGGGAGGGGCACATCTGGGCTGTAGGGCGGCWGCGGCGGTGTTGGGATGCCGGCCTTGGTCAGAAGAAAGGCGGTGTGAGCCGGAGCGTTGTGCTGGTGCAACTTCCATTGGCTGCGATGTTTCATCGAACCCGATTGACCCTTCGTTTGAGTCTCTTGACGACTTCCAAGTAAAACTTGGCGTTGACGGTTTGTCTAGGAGGGACAAATTCATAGTGGACGATACCTTTGATGTGAAAAAACACAATGAGCATCGTTTTCACTTGTTATTTGATCTTTCTTCCGGTCTTCATCAGCGACCTTCTCCGGCCCTCCAAAAAGGCCTGATGCCAATGAAACACAACATTTCTTGCTAAGCAACATGTGAATAAGCCCTCTTGATCATATAAAACGTCTCTGTCGCAGATTTACCTCTGCTCAAACGAACGCTGCATATTTGGCTTGCACCACTCACAGAAACACGTCAAGCGAAAATGTTTGTTCTGAGGCTCTAAGTGCTCGGAGACAACTCAACAGGCGCTCGTTCGTTAGCTAGGAACACCCTCTACCGAATCCAGTCGGTGCACGCACGTTCTGAAGTACAGTCGCGGCGGAAGAAAATCCGTCCAATTACTTTCCTGTATAAGGGTAATTTAAAACGCTACAATCTCTAACCAAATTTTTCAGATTGGATAACTATAACACATATCTGTCATTCAAACTGACCCATCAAAGTCAAGATAAAAATCATCGGAAAATATTTGACTTGAACTAGAAAATAATTTTCCGTCGAATGTAAACCGTTGGCCGGTTCCGATCTAGTCCKTTATATAGTAACTTTATATGGTAACTATAAGAAGTACATATATAACTTTTGTGCCGTCGCAGTTAACTTCCCCTAATGYAACAGATACAAACATATTTCGATATACAAAGGCCTAGCGCCATCGTATGCAACAACAAAAGCTTTGAAAACTACATTAGCTAATTAATTATTAAAAAATATAAAAAGACAACACGTGTAATGCTTACATTATATAAAAATAACTGTCGTTATCTTTTCGCTTCACTTCGTGATGTGTTTTRTCATTCACCCCTCCAATATGTGGGCTCATGTTGCTCTGTAGACCACTGCTCATGCCAGTCG